GACGTAACGTTTCTGATATTATTTGATCCAAATACTTCAATTTTGATAAATCTGCATATTCGATTTGTTTCTGAAAATATGTATATATTTAATAACATTAATCTTAATTGATTTATGTTTAAGTTTCTTCATATCAGTTTACAGATCTTTTATGACAAGAGTTTTATTTAGTTTCAAATTGTGAAAAGAAGCCTTTTAGAGTTTTATCTTAGATAATACATCTAAAATAAAACTCTAAAAGGCCTCTACTACACTCCTCATCAAATATTAGCCTATATACGCAATTCCGATGCAAACGAGAAGTTACGTTATTTCAATTCAAAATTTTCCGCTGAAAGAAGTTAGATAGATGACTGGCATGACTCTGTTGCCAACAGGAAAAGTATGATGTGTATACAAAAGCATGCCACTACTATTTTGAGGTGGAGAGCATATTTTAAATTAAATAAATTTTAAAAAATATGCTCAAAAATTGTAGCCCGACATTGTGACGATGTCACAATAAATAATTGCTCGTTCTATTTATGTTTAATTTGCAACATCATTGTATGGGTTTGTAAATGGGCCCGGATGGGTTTCACTTGATCACTCCTCATATTTATAGATATAAATACTTACAACCCTATGAATTAAACAAATATATAAATGATTCTAATTTAAACATATACATTCCAATTACATTATTTTCTATGTTTTCGTTAATCTCCTGACGAATTTTTTCTTGTTTTTCAGGATATTTAACCAAATAATGGGTGCACCAAGCTAACATAGTACTTGTAGTGTCATACCTAGAAAATAACAAAAAATTTAATAAAACTCAATGTACAATTTAGCATAATGATTCATACAATTTTTATTAAAGATTATTAATAAATAATTTATAATTACCCAGCTACCATAAATAAAACAGCATTCGCGACAATACTGTCCGTTGAAAGCTTCTTTACAACACCATCCGCTTCACCTTCGGCATCAATCATGATTTGCAAGAGATCTGGTGGATGATACTGAATACAAAACAATTTTAGCTATTAATTTTCGTTTTATTATGCTCAGTTTTTTTAATCTTACACATTCATATAAATTGCAAATTTGAAAACTTACATCAGATGTTTTTCTTGAAAGGACTATTTGTCGGCACATATCAACTGCCAACCTACTAGATGGATAATTAATTACATATTTGATTCTATCTAAAATCATTCTCATGTATGTAGGAACCGGCTCCATTTCAGGAAAACACACTAAAAATTTATTATAATTAGTTAATTATGAGAAATTTTTGGAATATTTAAGTTTTACTTACTTGATAATGAAGTCAATAAATCGGTCGAATCAACTTCCAGTATACCATAGATGGATTGAACAAATGTACTTGTCTCTTCGTTCTGCACATTTGTCTGAATTCCAAAGGCTGTTTTACAAATTATATCGAAGGTTAACTTTTTATAAAATTCAGCAATATCAAATGGTGATTGTTTCTGTTTGCCGATTTTCCCCAAAANATCATATGTTTGACAGCATCCACAATTCTTCTAAAGTACATGGGAATCGGTTCGAATTCAGGAAAGTAAACTGCATAGTTAAGTTAATATTAAATAATTTTCACTGTTTATAATATGTTATACTTATAACAAATGTTTACTTGATAATATAGATGACAAATCGACAATATCGGCTTCAAGTAATTTGTGTACAGATTGAACAAATTTATTCGTCTCCTCATTTTGTACATTGGTCTGAATTCCAAAAGCTGTTCTACAAGTTATATCAAAAGTTAATTTTTTGTAAAATTGATCGACATCAAATGTTTTCAGCTGTTTTCCGACGTTCTCCAGAAATATGTTTATTGGTTTAGACATAAGAGTGCTTATCTAAAATATTTAAAATTGTTGATATATTTATGCAATAACAAATTATACTTTTTTCTTTCACGGATAATGTCAAATATTCATAGTTAATTTTACTATTCTGAACCTCTAGTCTTATAATATAGCTTACCATTCTAAGTTTAGCGGAACTGAAACCTTTGCTCAATATACTTCTGGAACTTTTCCATTTGTCATCTAATTGAAGTGAAACCGCTTTACAGATAAGATGATGAGGAATTCCTGCATCTGGAAGTATCATCTGGAATGATTAATAATATAATTTAAATTTAAATGATAGAATATTTAGTAATAATGACTATTTCATATTTACATCTCTATTAGCAAAAGTTTTGAACTCCTTTATCTGTATAAGTTTTATTAATTCCAAATCACGACAGACAATACAAGGTTTCCCTCCGAGGAAGAAACTGCAAAAGTAATATTTTAAATTAAAACACACTTAATAATTAACGAATTTAAAACATAAAGCAAATAAAAAATAAAAGAATTCATTTAAATACGTATGTATCTAAAGATTTTATTTAAAGATTCTGACTTAATTATATTATTTTAATCAATTAAATAATAACTTTGTAGAGACGGAACGTCCGTAAATTATATAGAATTTATTATACACAAATTATACTTTTGATATTATTTAGGAAGATATTGCTTTATAAGTATAAATTTAATAATTTACCCAAAAATATTTCCATATTTTTCTATCCATTCATTAAGGCATTTGTCTCTCTGTAAATNGAACAGAAAAAATTGTCAGTGACTAAACAAAAATACCGAAATGCTTTTCGTCGCGATTGTATGTTTTCTTATTTGTTTAAACTAATAAAAGCTCCAAGAAAAAATAGCCAAAATTCATTTAATAAACAGCGTAAAATATTTCAGTGTTTAGTATAAAAATTAGAAAATTGCAGTTAAGAAAATTAATAAATGCAATATTGTTATTCTTGATGTAATTTGACATACAGTTGTTCTATATTAAATTATTATTATTCCGATTATGAGAGATAAACGTAATTTGTTTATTAAATATCTCATTAATTTTCAAAATAATGTTTAAATTAATAATACTTACCTTATCCAGAATGATACAAGACATACAAACGTAGCCAATAATAATATTACGAGAGACATATTGAACTATTCACATACGAAATCTTAACATGTCTATTAATATAAAAATACAAACACTGGTAAAATAATACATTATATATCATTAAAAAACTTTAACTAAATATAAATAAATTATTACGAAAATATAATATCTAATTAAACATTTATAAACTTTTGAAGCTTTAGAAAACTTGCATGAAAAATACTATCCATTCATTAAGGCATTTGTCTCTCTGTAAATAGGATGAATTTCATAAGCATTATATAATAAATCCTCGATTTTAATAGTATATGAAAAAAATTGATTGCCTTTTTGTGATATTCCATTAAATTTCCAGTAATGAAATGGGGTTTTGGTCCTGGAATCCCATATCTTTGAAACACGCTCATTTTTCTTTTTCTCCATCTTTAAATATAAAAGTATTTAATTTTTCATAAATTTAATAAGGTATTAAATATCTTAGAGATTTCATTAATTAGAAAATAAGAATAACGATTGTGATCTCCTGTTAAGACTCATAAAAATTGTAGACCCATAAATTCCCATTGTCGTTCGTCCGTCTCTTATTTGTCAGTCTATCCTTCCTATTATCGGAAATGGCGTTAGATAGATGAAAGCCGAGATCAGATGAGGAAAGCTTAGGACAGGAGACTTCGATTAACTATATACNTTCGTCAATAAAAAAAGTCTTTATACCATCTTCAGTTTAGCGGTACTGAAACTTGTGCTCAATATATTTCTGCTAATTCTCCAATCTTCATCCTTTTGAAGCGGAAGTGAGTTAAGCACGTTATTATTAGGAATTCCTGCATCTGGAAGTAACAACTGAAATAATACACAACAAAATATCAATATGATAAATAAGTCTTCGCATTAATAATCGTAAGAAATTACATCTCTATTCATAAAACTTTTAAAGTCCTTTATTTGTATAAGTTTTATTAATTCCAAATCACGACAGACAACGCAAGGTTTGCCTCCGAGGAAAAAACTGAAAGTAATAAAATAAGATTTATATTTTATTATTATTTAGATTAATTAATTAATTAATTAATTAATTAATTTCATTACACATTTAGAGTTACTAGAAAGTACAGGATTATGATATCAAAATATATATTTCTGACAAAAATATTTGACGCACCTCGAAGAAAATATCCTAACGTCGTAAAACTTTGCAAGTTCAATGATAATGAAGTGATTATGATTTTATAATAAAAGGCGTCAGAACAATCGAACAAAAACTTCTAATAAAATAATAACGATTAGAATCGTCCGGTCTTGTTCGTCAACGTCATAGCCAACGAAAGGTCGACGATGGGCCGACAAATGATACAATGACGTTTAGCTAATCAAACTTTTCCACAGAAGAACACGGTCAGCTTGAAGAAATCAACTAATCGTTGAAGTTGTATATAAGAAGGTGTCAAGTTAGAACTAAAGAAGAACGTTCTTTTATGTTTACGTAGTTTGGTATATGGGACAAAAAGAAAAGTAAAGAATTTTAACAAAATATCAAAATAACAAAGTAATAAATTTTAATGAACTATTAGTTAATATATTTTAATAAATGAAATGCTAATAAAGAGGAAATAAATTATATGTGACAGGTTATTTCATTGATCAAGATTTATGCAATTCGAGTACTAAACTATATATAGTGTATGTATAACTAATCATCTGATTTTAAAGGCGTATTCATATTAGGACCAACTTGGGCTAAGTCGACGCCTTTAGGAAGTCAGCCTACCTCTTTGGAAACCTAATAATGAATCCAGGGGTAGTAAAATGGGCGCATTGCCATTTTTATTTTAACAAATGAAATACAGTATATAGGACAGAATGTCTTTATTATTGAAAAGCAATCAAAAATATTTGTTTTTGTTAGAAAAAATAACATTAATTTATATGGATAAGAACCGCTACGGGCCTCAAGTTTTCTCGAGACCTGGAAAAAATTGCCGGCCTTTCCTTTTCGTCGGAAGTGGTTGTCTGTCCCTGATATGTCCGGACTTCGTTCCACACAACCAGTCCTCCTCAATGTGGGCCTGGAGGAACTCATGATAGACATGACTAAAAAGACTCTAGTTTCCACAAGATTAAATTGGCAAGAGAATAAATAACTTAATAAATAGTAAAGACACTGGCTATGACGCATAGAGTCAAACAACAATCGGATATTACCTGAGAGAAATTCTTATAAGAGTTTTGTAATTATTGGCTAGTTCGCTGCTTTCTATGATTGATATTTGATTGGCAAGCCATCTAGATATCTGACTGGTCAGGACGATAACAACCGCGATCACATAAATACACCGAGAAAAATTTCGAGTGAAGCTGGGTATTATCCTCTTCGTTAATGATCCGGAAAACAGGATGGCAAAAACTGGTCGAAGGCTGTCTTCAACTTAGCAATGTACTTTTTGTTAAGACGTCATGTATTGTATTTTCTAATATCTATAAGTCCATAAATTTCTACAGGTGTCAGACATGTTTTTCTGCCAATAAAATCGTTAAGTATTTTAATCATATTATAAGTCTGATTATGATTATGATCTCATCATGATTATGTGTTAGTTCACAAATAAAGTGTGATTGAAGGGATCGCAGTTTTCTTCCAGCAAAAAAATATGTTTTTTTTATTGCTTTTTGCCCTTAATTTCATTAAATGTTTCTAAAATCCTAACTAGTTATTTATATTTTAGGGCTTATCACACCAGTACACGAGACTGGTGTAATAAGCCCTAAAATATAAATGTCTAGTTATGTTATTAAAAAACATTTTTAAAAATATGGTAGTCGTTCCCTACAAGAAACAGAATGCCGGTCACCATAACACTATATACCACACTGTCAGTGTACGGTAATTTAGGGTAGACATCTAATGGAAGTTAAGGAATGAAGTTTTATCCCTGACAGTCACTTTAAAATAGCGTGACATAATACAAAAGTTATCGAGTAGTTGTGTGCGCTGTAATACACCAAAGCATTTATTATTCAACATTTCATACATTTAAAATTTAGTAAAAAATCTGAAAAAAATTATTACGTTGAGAACTGTTTACCCGGAGGACATGAACCCTACACTTTTTACTGTTCAAATACTTTTCAACAAAAAGAAAAGGAAAAAAATGCAGGCATCAGAGAGATGCTAGGGCGAGTGTCTGTTTATGTTTAATAACCATTGTAGAAAAATTACGTTGGNTCAAAAACGTGTAAATTGAAAAAAGTGTTGTTTTAGAAATAGCGTACTTTAATTGAAATATTGGAAAAGCAATTCATGAATACGCGAATGTTTGGATATTTATTAACAACAGATTGTTTTCTTGTGCATCAATCCATTATCCTCTGTTGGCTTGCTGGTCTGCCGAACCATCGCATCACTACTAGTTCAAACTAAACCTAACAGTAGTGAGAGTACGTTCAGGAAATCCTGTGCCCTCGTATGTTTGCTTTGCAGGCAAGACTACAGACAGTATTGTTCCAGAAAGATAACGCTTGGCCAAAAACAGCTAGTTTCTGAGAAATATCTCGGTAATGCATACTTCCTTGGTTTTCAGGTCTTCAGATCTGTTATACATTTAGCTTTTGTGAGATCAAATGTAATGCCAACTTTGGCTATCTGGTAGTGCGAAAAGTTTGGACCGAAAATAGCAATATCTATGGAAATATCGATTGTAGGATACGATACGATGTCTGTATACTTCCATTCCTATTTTCGATGATATGATATCGATTGTAGGATACGATACGATGTCTGTATACTTCCATTCCTATTTTCGATGATATCTCTGCATTGATCTAGTACGTAACATTTTTGTTAATAAAAAAAAGTCTTTATACCATCTTCAGTTTAGCGGCACTGAAACTTGTGCTCAATATACTTCTGCTAATTTTCCAATCTTCGTCATGTTGAAACGTAAGTGATTTGAACATAAGATTATGTGGAATTCCTCCATCTGGAAGTACCAACTGAAATAATTGAAAATAAAATATCAATATGGTAATTAAATCTTCATATTAAATTAATTAATAATCATAAGAAATTACATCTCTATTCCTAAAATATTTGAAGTCTTTTATTTGTATAACTTTTATTAATTCCAAATCACGACAGACAACCCAAGGTTTGCCTCCCAAGAAGAAACTGAAAGTTATAAAATAATAATATTTTTATTTTTATTTTTCAGACAAGCTAAATAATACTGTACTTAAATAAAAAAGAAATACATAATTAGAGTTACTAGAAAATAAAGGATTATGAAATGAAAATATATCTCTGATTCACAAAGTTACTCACCTTGAAGAAAATATCCTATCGTTATAAAATTTTACAAGTGCAACTAAGATTAAATAATAGAGAGATTGCGGCCGAAGTTCAAACGTTAAACTTGTACGGCAAGCAGAAGTACACGTTTGACGTTTGAACTCCAAGTAAAACATGTGCCACACGTTCAGGCGCACTGACTCATGGGATATTGTTGAAAAATGGCGGAAACGTTTAACAACGACAAATGTCATTAGCGAAAGTAAATAAACGAATTAAACTATTTTAAAGTATTTATAGGATGTTTAATAACACTAAATAATTATTTGTAATTAGCGTCGTGTCTCCTACCGTTTCGATAGGACGATAGGACTACCTTATACTTTTGTTGAGGGAAGTAGTGACTTATGTAAATCTGAAAGCAGCTTGGGATTTGCTTTTAGAAAATTTACAAACATATTACGCTGTTGATGGTAGAAAATGCTGTGAAAGAACAAACATACTCCTACAGAATTATGGTCAGTTATTATGAAGACAAATACTGTATATGTAAATTCTATAGGTACACTTCACATCACTTGAAAAAAAAAAATTGAATAATTAAATAATTTCTGGATTAATTTCTGGATAATCGTCTATTTCGTTACAATATTATTCACAAATGATTACATAATCATTGTTTTAATAAAATACGTCCCAATTTAACCCCAAACACACACACAAAAAAATGAAGTTTAAGCCGAAATTCTACTCGCCATGCTAGACGTAGCGAACTCCATTGTCAACCTTCTAGAATTGCCAGATGGTGTCGCTCGACGTCCGACGTTCACGTTTTAAGCTGAAAACGTTGGCCGCAACCTCTCTAATAAAGAAGTGTTTACGATTTTACAGTAACTACTATACTGATAAATAGTAACTATTACAACACTATTGACGCTATCAATAGTGTATTTTTTGAAAACTTCTAAACCATCTTGACAGCTTTAATGTTTTTTCCTGTTTATTATCTCCCTCTTTGCTGTCGTGCAAAATTTCTTTAACCATCATGTCTAGTTCCTGATTTGTGGGTTCTATAGCTGTCTGGTACATATGTACAGTACAGGTAACCCCGTAACACGGTAGTTACGTTCCAAAAAATTGCCGTGTTATGCGAATCCGTGTTATGCGAAACAAAGAACTAGTACGAAAAGGAGGGTTAGGTTCCAAAAATTAAAAAACTTGCTACTATATTTTCATAATTAAGGTAAATATCTTTATTAAAATTTTCTTAAGTGATACATATTAGTAGTAGTGGTTTGACACATACTGATCACAAAATTAATTTCATGAGTAAATTTCAAATAAAAATTTGTTGAATGGAATTATTTCAGATCACAAAATTAATTTTTTGAATAAATTACTATCGAATAAATTAAAATTGCAAATAAAAATTTGTTGAATGGAATTATTTCAGATCACAAATCTTAATTTTATTTTAACAATAAGGTTATATTAATTATTAAATTTTAAATTAAATTAATTTTATTTTAACAATAAGACTGTATTAATTATTAAATTTAAATTTTATATTATTTTAACAATAAGTTTAATTATTAAAATGTTTTTATAACTTTGAATTAATACAGTATATTCTTTCTAATTATTATAAAATTAATTTGCAATAATTTCAGATAAAAAATTTCTTGAATAAATTAAGATAATAAATATTTATAAAACTTTCAATTCATTTT